AGTTTTTCATTCAATATCTCATAGGTTTAGGTTACATCTCCTTTTATAATAAATAAACCCTGGTACATATTTACAAAAATAACCCTGTACCATATCGTGAGGGCGCACCCCCCGCACCCCAACCCACATTATCATAACCCCCACTACAAGACTTTCTTTATAAGGACGGATGATGTTCGCTTCACTCACTCTGTTCCATCCTCTTTCCTCTTTACCAATATATTTATAAGCCATACCTAACAAATCTCCACCTTGGCGAATATCCTGCCCCTTAGGAAACATTCAACGTGGGTTGGGTTACCTTACTTCTTTAACAACTCGAAACATTCAACAAGTCCAAGCAATGCATGAACTTGTCTATCGTAACTGGCTTGGTGAACATATCAGCAACATTCTCATTAGTATGCACTTTATGAAACAAAATCTCTCCAGATGCAACCAACTCTCTGATCTTGTGAAACCTTACATCAATATGCGTAGTTCTTGCACGATATACATGATTCTTAGCCAAGTGGATAGTACTTTGATTGTCACAAAGCAACTGAACTCCACCTTGCTGAACACCTGACTCCTTTACTAAACCAGTAAGCCATAAAGCTTCTTTTGCAGCTTCAGCCTCTGCCATGTATTCAGCTTCAGTTGTAGATAATGCCACAACATATTGAACAGTAGAATTCCAACAAATAGGCCCTCCACCAAGAGTAAAGATATACCCTGTCGTAGATATTCTATTATCCAAGTCACCCGCATAGTCTGAATCCACATATCCTACAACCAAAGGATTATCCCGCTGACTACCAAAAATAATTCCATGTCCCACAGTACCCTTTAAGTGCCTAAAGATCCACTTGACTACTTCCCAATGTTGCTTATCAGGTTTAGACATGTACTTACAAACTTGACTAACATCATGAGCTAAATCAGGACAAGTACATACCATTGCATACATTAAGCAGCCAAAAGCATTATAATACAGAACCTTTTCCATATCTCTATCTTCCTTATCTGTCTTAGGGCACTGTTCTTATGAGAGCTTAAAGTGATTCGCCAATGGAGTGCTCACTGGTTTTGAGCTACTCATCACAAACATTTCTAGCATTTTCTCAACATAACCCAGTTGAGATAGCCACAGTTTCCTTGAGTCTTTGTCCCTGCAAATTTCCATTCCAAGAATTTTCTTTGCAGCACCTAAATCTTTCATATCAAATTCCTGACTCAATAAAGTTTTCAAACGGATAACATCATCCATGTTCTTCGCAGCAATTAGCATATCATCAACATGCAGTAATAGAAAAATAAAAGAACCATCATCAAGGCTCTTAACATAGACACAACAATCATACTCACATCGCTTGTAACCAATCTTGATCATATAGGAGTCAAACCATTTGTACCATTGTGTCAGAGACTGTTTCAACCCGTACAAAGACTTCTTCAATCTGCAAACTAAATGTTCGTTTCCATGTTGAGTGAAACCTTCAGGCTGCTACATGTAGATCTGCTCCTCTAAATCACCATGCAAAAAAGCAGTTTTAACATCCATCTTCTCTAAATACAAATCCTAACTAGCCACCAATGCAAGTACTGCTCGGATTGAAGTATGTCTGGCCACATGAGAAAAAATTTCATCATAATCAACTCCTTTCTGCTGTGAAAAACCCTTTTCTACCAAACAAGCCTTGAACTTCTCCCCCTCTTTTTATGTTACTGCTGGTTTCTTCTTATACACCCATTTGCAACCAATTGGTTTCTTACCCTCATGAAGGCGAACTAACTCCCATGTACGATTGTGATTCAAAGACTCCATCTCCTCAACCATGGTAGCCATCAACTTGTCGTTTTCTTGACTAGTAACATCATCATGAAAAGTAACCGGATCATTACTACTAACAGTAAGTGCAAAAGAGACCAAGTCTTCAAAACTAACTTTATTCGGAGGCTTTATATTCGTCCGTCTCACCCTGTCTCTGGAGAGACTATAATCATGCAAATCAATCGTAGCGGAACCACCAGAAGTCGATTGAGAAGTTTCTGTTTTCTCAACTGGAAACTGCTCAAAATCAACCGTTGTCGTGTCTTTCTTCTGCTGCAACATGGATTGTTCATCAAAAACAACATCTCTACTGATCACAATTTTCTTCGTAACTGGATCTCAGGACTTGAATCCTTTGACACCTTTCTTGTAACCCAGAAAAATGTACTAATTCAATTTTGCATCAAGTTTCGATCTCTCATCAGCAGGTACATGCACATAAGCAGGACAACCAAAAATCCATAAGTGATCAAAAGTAACATCATGACCAGTCCATACCTCTTCTGCAACTTTCCCAACCAATGATGCCCTTGGCGATCTATTGATAAAATAACACGCCATGTTAACAGTCTCAACCCATAAGTGTTTGGGAAACCTCGTATTCAACCGCAAACATATGGCTCTTTCAGTCAATGACCTGTTCATCTATTCCGTAACACCATTCTGTTGTGGTGTCTTGCGTACTGTAAAATACTTCTTAATCCCGTACTCTTTACATAAGTTTAGAAACTCTAAATCTGTGTACTCCGTACCATTTTCAAACCGCAAACACTTGATTTTTCGTCCTATTTGGTTTTCTACCTCAGTTTTCCACAGCTTGGACTTCTCAAAAATGTCAAACTTCTGTTTTAAAAAATCACCCAAACTTTCCGTGAAAAATCATCAATAAAAGCAACATAATACCTAGATCCACCCAAAGACGATGTCGTGGAAGGCCACCATACATCAGAATGCACATAATCAAGAATCCCTTCAGTTGTGTGCTTCCTAGTCTTGAAACGAACTTTAGTATGTTTACCAATAACATAATACTTGCAAAAATCGATCTTACAACTTTTAACACCATGCAACGGATTTCTTTTATGTAATTCAACCATACCACGTTCACTAAGATGAGCAAGACGCATATGCCATAGTTTGTTAGTATCATCACAGAACTCAACAGAATAAACTCCACCTACAACGGTATTCCCTAACAATATGTAAATATTCCCTGCGGTCATATTTCCTTTCATCACAGTCAATGATCCTTTAACAATTTGAATGGTTTCCATATCCTCATCAGCCTTAGGGATAAAACCACTCTTGTGCAAAGTGCCCAGAGAAATCAAATTCTTCTTCAAATCTGGGATATGCCGAACACCACACAACGTCTGAACAGAACTATCATACATCTTAATTCTGACATCACCAATACCAACACTATTGCAACATCGATCATCACCCAAATAAATTGAACCGGAATTAACCGACATGTATGTCGAAAACCATTCCCTATTTGGCGTGATGTGATAAGAACATCCAGAATCAAGAATCCAAGCATCCGTCAATTGAGTCGTTGAAATAGAGAGCATATCACCCTCACTGCAATCAGAATTGTCATCCTTGACCACATTCACAGACTTGGATGAGTCATCACGTTTCTCATCAGTCTTCCTTTTTAACTTCGGATAGTCTCGCTTCATATGTCCCGCCTCCTTGCACTTGTAATAGTGAATTGTCTTCTTATCCCTAGATTTGGATCTGAAATTCCGCTTCCCAGACTATGCCTTCTATGGCTTCCGTCCACGGTCTCGATTACCCTTGACATATAAGCTATCAGCTTGAGAGCTTTCCCCTGCATTCTGCTTCCGTTGGTTGTGAGCCAACAAGGTTGCAATAATCTCCTCAACTTTGATAGTTTCTTTCCCATTTGTAAGAGTAGTCACCATGTGGTCGTAAGAAGGAGGCAACGAACACAACATAATCATCACTTTGTCTTCATCCTCAATTTTCACATTAAGCTGAGCCAAATTAGAAACGATTTGATTAAAGACATTCACGTGTTACGCTAAATCATGATCATCCTGCATCTTTAGCCCATACATCCACTGCTTTAGATACAGTTTAGTAGTTAAGTATTTGGACATAAACTGACTTTTCAACTTCTTCCAAATTTTATCTGGAGACGACAGATGCATGATGTGATACATGACCTCGTTCGCCAAACATAATCGTATGGTTCCTGCCACTCACTGCTGCAATTCTTCCCAATCTTCTTCCTCCATCATCGCCGGCTTTGTCGGTCGCAAAGCCTTCAGGATCCCTTACTGCGCCAATAGATCCTTCACCATTGTTTGCCATAATCCGAAGTTACCCTGACCATCGAATTTCAAAACTTTGAATTTGGCTCATGACATCTGATACCAATTGTTGAATAATCGGGAAAAGAAAACAGAAAGAACACAAGAATTTTAACGAGGTTCAACAATGTGCTTACGTCCTCGGTGCCTTAGGCGATGCTAGCTTTTCATTCAATATCTCATAGGTTTAGGTTACATCTCCTTAAACCCTGGTACATATTTACAAAAATAACCCTCCCGCACCCCCAACCCACATAATCGTAACCCCCACTACGAGACTTTCTTTATAAGGATAGATGATGTTCACTTCGCTTACTCCGCTCTGTCCTCTTACCGGTATATTTATGAGTCATACCTAACAATATGTACACAAAACACCCTAGGAAGTACACTCACCTTAACTAAACTATCTAATTACACTCGAATGGTGCATAAAACGCAATCAAACATAAAATTAGTCCAGCTCAAAATTATATTACAAAGACTAATATTTAACCCAAAAAATTGAGACATAAATTCTAACTTCCTTGTCCTTTTTCTTCTAGGTTAAAGAATAACCAAACCCTAGCTTGAATCCTCCATCTTCAACATTTCCAACTTGAAAATCAAAAGTCAAAATAAAATAAACAACCAGAAATTAAATAATATGATCGAGAAAAATGGGTTGATAAGTCTCATGCCAACTTAAAAAAGTGGTTTCAATTAACTCGAATTTAAGATCTAAAATTATCTGAATTTGAAATAATTTAATTAAATAACTAAAAAATCTAAAAGTACTCAACCGATGCAAATCCAAAATTAAGTAAAAATAAATCAGCTCCCTCATTTCACATGTCTAAATTGAGTTATTATGCAATCGTCTTCTTGTAAGAATACCACCTAGCAACCATAACATAAACACCCATATTGATCACACTCAACACAGCCAAAAGCCAGAAGAAATAATGGAGATGCCCATAGTTCAAGTTATCTGGTATCCACCCAGGATTACCATCCCTGGTGCTTAAATCTGCCACTATATTAACAAGGAATGTGCTCAAATAGTTCCCTAATGCAGCTGTTGATAGGGAAAGGGCAGAGCACAGGCTTCTCATGGCATCTGGAGCTTCTTCATAAAAGAACTCCAACTGCCCAATGAACGTAAAAACTTCCGCACAGCCTATTATGAAGTATTGTGGAACCTGGAAAAAGATCGAGATCGGCATATGCTTCAGTTCATAATAGTTGTGCTTCTTCACTGCACGGAGTCTAACGAGCTCCAACGTGCCTGCAGATATCATGGCAAAGATTGAGATGATGAGGCCGATTGCTATACGTTGAAGTTGAGTGAATCCATTTTTATGGCCGGTATACTTTCGTGCTAATGGAACAATGAGACGGTCGTAGACTGGAACCCAGAAGATGACGCTGATTGTATCGAAGAGAGACAGTGATGCTGAAGGTATCTCAAATGATCCTCCCATGTGAAGGTCCATAGTGTTGCCTTGCAGCACAAATAATGTGCCCATTTGACTGTATGCAGTTGAAAATATAATGCCTGTTGCCCATATAGGAAGTAATCTTATGATGGATTTAAGTTCTTCAACTTGTGTCACAGTGCAAAGCCTCCATGGATTTATAGAACCTTTGATTTGATCATATGATGACACCACAGCTGCCTTGTCAAAGAAACTATGGTGCATACATTAATAAAAGCAATTAGTCAAATTAGAACAGTGTGTTGAGTCTTAATCAGTTAATTCCAAGATTGTTTTATGTACCTTAACTGCTTTGTATGATCAAGGTTTCGGCTTCCTCTGACCGTAGATTCCTCGTCTGTAGTCTCGTATAAAAAAGACTTGTCATCGGGTACTTCAACTCGAACTTTCCTGAAGGAAGCAACAATAACTTGGCAGATTCGAGCAAGGGGACTCCCTCCTGGTCTCTGGTTTCTATACAACCTTGTACCTGAAAAGAAACTTGCAACAGCAATAGCCATAGCAACTGCCGGAATGCCAAACCCCCAAGCCCATCCTACGTTGGTTTGTATCCAGACAAGAACCGAAGAAGCTACAAGGGCACCGATATTAATCGAAAAATAGAACCAATTGAAGAATGAACTCTTCTTTTTCTTTTCAGTCTCATCGGAATCGTCAAACTGATCGGCACCGAAGGATGAAACACAGGGCTTAATCCCTCCAGTACCAAGGGCTATCAAGTATAGCCCAAGAAAAAACACACCAGTTTGCAGTCGTGTAGGATGGTAAACGTTGTTCTCGTCGCATGTCGGTTTTAGGCCATGAATAGATGCTGACAATGTTAGTATTGTCATGCCCTGCAACGGAGTTACACAACATAAAGAAAATCTGATCAATCTGAATGGTACCAACCTATATATAACCAAATTGAACTTACAAAAACATAGATGATGGAGAAACTAGCGATCGTCCAGTATCGTCCCAAATACGCATCGGCTAGGAACGCTCCAATTAGCGGCATGACATAGCATGTTCCCGACCAATTCATGACATTACTAACGGCTGCAACATTTCGTTGATTGAGTTGGAATTTCAGATAGTTAACCAGGTTTGTGTTAATCCCATAGTAAGCCAATCTTTCACAGCATTCATTTCCTATAGCATATGCATCAAATGTTTGCCAAGGATCATTAAACCAGACAGTGGAACATATATAGAACTTATATCAGACAAATAATGTGCACTTGAGATATAGAATACCAAGGATGTAAGGGCATGCTTTCCATGTCCCGGTCTTGTTCTTGATGGCCGGTTTGTTTCGGAAGTTGGTCGTTCCATCCTTGGTATAGATATCTTCTTCTGCCATTACAATTCTTAAACCTCAAGGATTCAATGAACAGAAGGAACAGTATGATACTCAAAACTTAAAAGATTAATGCAGCAAGTTTTTAAATATAGTAATGGAAGTGCTTTGAGGTAAGCCAGGCTGTTAGCTCATTGACATTCATTTTTTGGGGCAACTTTCGGCACACAGTTCGATCCGGCATCGTTAAATGGTTGGTGAAATTGAAGCAGGTGTCGTTTTCATGATTGGTGCAGTTCACTGTGATATGTAGAAGATGATAAATGGCCATAAGCTTGTGCTGGTGGGCACACCTTCATAGGAAAGGGAATTAATGCTAATTTGCCATAGGCTATCGCAAAACAAAGGATCTTTGCGGCTATGTTTCATTTTCGGTGTTTCAATATTGAAGCCTTTTCTACTCACCAATAAGGATGAACCGAAGGAGGCAGTTGACATACCTCTAAAAATTTTCATTATAGTATATTTTAAATCTTATATATATATATATATATATTCTATTGATAATCTATTTTTGTCCATTGAAATTTTGTAAGTTTATCTCCAACAAAAATCGATAAAGTAAAGGACCAAAATTGATTTTTTTAACTAATGACCAAAATCAAACGGACCAAAAAAATAAAAAACAACCTATATAATTTACCGAAATAAATATTATAATTTGTTACATTTTTAATATTTACAAATATTACCCAAATAAAAATATATATAATAATTAAAATGTGTTACATCTTTAATATTTATAAATATTACCCAAATAAATATATATATAATAATTAAGATTTGTTACATCTTTAATATTTATAAATATTATAAAATTATAAAATATTATTTATTTATTATTAAGTTTATAATATTAAGTATAAATTTTTAACGTTCATAAATTATAATATTATTTTAGAAATTTTTAATCTTTAAACTAACAATATTAGTTTACATAATATTTACACATATAAAGTTATATATAATATAAAAATTACATGCATCTTAATATTTATAAATATTAAAATTTATAAAATGTTATAATTTGTTATTAAATTTATAATATTAATTGTAAATATTTAATATTATATATATATATCGTTAAATATTATCGATGACAAGTGCTTAATATTTTGGTAAAAAAAATAAATTAAAAATTTTAACTCTTAAGATTTGAGCCTAGCAGTCACAAAAATTAATCTCACTGCTCTACTGCTACAACTATCAAATATATAATTTTATGATTTTGAATTAATCGCTAGATTTGTTGAATACCAAATTTGCATTAAGGGGGCCAAAAAGGAATAAATTGTAAATTTTAGGATTCAATGATTGCGACAACAACTGTCAATGATGACCAACAATTATAGACGATGGCAATTGTGAGTGACAGTCAACGAAAAAAGATTTTGGTTGAATTTAAAGGTTGAATTGATATTTTATCTTAAATTTTTGGGTCAAAATGATAATTTATCTAAAATTCAAAGCCATATTAATACTCTATCTAAAATTCAAAGGTCAAATTAAAAACTAACCCCTTTTGAATAGCATACCACATCATACCAAACTAACAAGAGTTATCGACTTAATGACCAAAATATAACAATTTATAACAAAGTGGCCAAGATTTGATAAACTAATAACATAAGTAACCAAAACGTAACTTTTTTAAATTTAGTGAGGAAAAGTACAAATATGGAAGGCAAATGATCAATCCAATAGTTATCCAATAAAGAAAAGAGAAAATCGTTTCAGTGACTAAAATTCCCATATAATATACGATTTTAACCAACTTTTTTCGGATTTGCCAAAATGACCAACAAAATCGCAATGCGATCGCTAATTCTCAACGCGATCTCCATTATCGCAAATTCGCGTTGCATTTCGCGTTGCGATAGTTGAAAATCGCATTGCGATGGTCTACAGTGTCGTTGCGATTTTCCCAATTCGCAATGCGAATAAGTAAATCGCAACGCGAATTGGGAAAATCGCAATGCGATACTGACTATTGCAATGCGATACTTACTATCGCAATGCGATAATACAAAATCGCAACAAGATACTGACTTTCGCAACGCGATAATACATAATCGCAATGCGATTTTCAAAGCGCCATTAGTATCCTGGCCAAGTATTTTATTTTTAAATTCCAAACACGAATATTAATATATTGGAACACTGAACCGTCCACAGTATATCCCGTAATCGCAACTCATAACCTAAAACCTAAAATCACAACTCAGTCCCATCTCCATCTCTCACTCTCTCACCCATCTCCGACGAAATCCGTCCCCATCTCCGGAGAAATCCGTCTTTCTCCATCTCTCAGAGCCACCCTCACAATCAGAAATGGAAAATCAACCAAATCAACCAACGAGGGTTAGTTTTTTTAATTATTTTCTTTTTGAAATTTTTGCATTATTATTAGGTTTTTCATATTGAAATTGATGATAAGTTTACTGGTAATTTCAATAATAGATTAACCATTTCACTTAGATTGCTTATTAAATCAACCGAGAATCGCAACGCGAAATGCAAATCGCAACGCGATTTTAGTTTCGCGTTGCGATAGTCAAATTCGCGTTGCGATAGTCATTTTCGTGTTGCGATTTTCATTTTCAGAAACTATTCTTCTTCTGCAAATTGAAACTTGAATGAATTGCATTACTTCAACCAAAAAACAAAGACAAATACGAAATTCACAGTGTTGCAAATTTAAGTTTGAAGAATAAACTACTACTCTTTATGTTTATTATTGTTTTTGGTATATCTTCACAGTGTAGTTTTTGGTATATCTAACTTAGTATGTTTATTGTTTTTGTAGAACTTTTATTCGGCTCAATTGACCTTAAGAAATAAAGTCAACCTGGCCAAAACAATTGCGTCGAAGCTTTCACCTGCACAAAGAAAAATGTTTGAGGATACATGCTTCGGGCCATGGCTGAAAGTACAACATCCCGGTGGAGATGCGATGTTGACACACCTGTTTCTTCAAACCATGACTAGCGATCTACCAGAGACTATACAACGTCGTGATGAAGAGATATGGTTTGATTTTCCATCGGCGTATACGTGTTTTGGGCGGGAGGAGTTTTGCTTAATCACCGGTCTACGCTTCGGACACGATGATGTAGGTCGGTACACTAGACACATTACCCGCCCATCATGGCTATCCCGGGTTTTTCTTGAGCTGGAGAGGCCGAATCTACACGTAGAAGACCTGACAAGATTATTGGATAAGAAATATGGTTTTACTCGGATGGATGACGTCGACGTTGTCCGAGTATGCCTTCTAATTCTTTTGCATGCCGGCTTTTTAGGCAGAGAAGCCAGACAACCTATTCCAAATGATCTAATCAAATTGGTAGAAGACCTAAATGCGTGGAACCTGTTTCCGTGGGGCTCGTATTTATGGAAATCTACATGGAATAAGTTATCGTATGCCTTGGATGATCGAAAAAGTTTGCATGGCGATGGTTCCAAATACACTTTGACAGGATTTATTTAGGCCTTTAAGGTAAGAATTTTTATATAATGTTTCCAAAATTATAAGTAATTATTTAACAATTACTAATGTTTGTTATTATATTGTTTGTAGATTTGGATATTTGAGGCCTTTCCCGCCATGAAGACATATGCAATAAAAACTTCAAATGATATTCCCAGGGCTATTTCCTGGAAGAGGAAACGGACCTTGCAATGGGAAGATTTACTACGGTATACGACAATAAATAATGTAAGTTAACATAAATACTACCATATGTTTATAAACAAGTTATTACTAGTACACGTTTAACTTTGTTTGAGCTTTTATATTGTTAGGAGGCCAACACTCCTCTACAAAGGCTGACACCCACGGAAGCTGAGCTTGCCACTGATTGGTGGCAAGCTAGTAAGCGTTTTTTTGATGGAACGGTTGATGAGCAGCCTCCACTTCGGGAGCCATCACCTCGCCCAGAGCTATCACCTCACCCAGAGCCATCATCTGATCGACCCGACTATACACCTCCACAACGACAGCCATCACCTATTATGTCACATCATCGAGCCTCTTCTCCACCATCACCGCAAGATAGGCGACCGGCAAAGATGCTACGATGTTTATCTCCCTGTTCTCCACCTCCACCTCCACCTCAACGGGATGAGTTAGGGGAGTTACGTGATGAGGTCAATGCCTTGCGTGAGGAGGTCGATACTTTACGCAAAGATGATGGTGCATGGCGTGTTGAGGTGTCTACATTACGCGGTGAGGTAGCCGCTCTACGTGAGATGGTAGCATCGTTGCAGAATGAGGTTCATACTCTACGCAACGAGGTAAGTTTAAGATTTTTCATACTCGTAATTCATTCGGTTGCTGCCAATACTGCTAAACTGTTTTTGTTAGTATTTGTTTTTGGTTTTGTTTTTATCTTTTGGTTGAAGTAATGCAATCCATTCAAGTTTTAATTTGCAGAAGAAGAATAGTTTACTTTCGCAACACGAAAATGACTATCGCAACGCGGAAATGGCTATCGCAATGCGAAATGAAAATCGCAACGACAAAATCGCAATGCGAAATGAAATCGCAACGACAAAATCGCAACGCGAAATGAAAATCGCAATCGCATTGCGATTTTGTCGTTGCGATTTTCATTTTGCATTGCGATAGCCATTTCCGTGTTGCGATAGTCATTTTCACGTTGCGATTTTAAGTTTCGTGTTGCGAAAGTAAACTATTATTCTTCTGGAATGTTTATATATGTTATCCTTTTAAATGTTTATATAAGTGCTTACTTCTGGAATGTTATCTGAGCATTTTGTGAACTATGATAGAATAATGACTTGGGTGAATACAATGCTAGTTTGAAACATATTTGTCTTTGTTTAATATCATGTCTGTTTATTTACTGATTTATGTATTTTTTTTAGCGGCCCGATAAAGTGGATGCTTTACGTCGGGTTTTCCTTGCACGACGGAGTTCACGCATCAGATGGCGTGGACGTGCTATTACGTCTCCTTTTACCCCAATGGTGCGAAGACTCCGC